GCCTTAGATACAGTTTCTAGAAGAAGAAGAAGAAGAAGAAGAAGAAGAAGAAGAAGAAGAAGAAGAAGAAGGCCAGTACGCACAACTATCGACTGTTCGAGCCATGTTATCATTTTCAGCCATTTTCCAACAATGCTACACTAGGCGCAACTGTAATGCCCCCCCAACGAGAATCGAACTCACTACCCTGTCGTAATTGATCTAACGAGAGAAGCTTACTAATTTTTACGCCAAGTGCCCAATTTGATTTACTAAGCGTAACCGAGATGTGGCACAAGGTCGCAACTACAGAGCACGCAATAAACGAGAAAAGCTTACTAACCATTACACCACGTAGATGTGCCAAAGAGCCACCCGAAATACCAATTTTCTAAGCGAAGCTTACATGTGTACAAGACCGAAATTATGGCGCATCCAGTGAGGATCGAACTCGCTACTCAGTCGTAATCTAGAGCGACAAGCTTGTTAACCATTACACGAATTTTTTATACTTATATTTCCATGAAGTTTTATTTTAATATCAATTTGCAATAGACTTTTCCTTTTATATTGGGAGACTGAGGCAGCAACGTTAACTAAAATATTAATATTAATAAATGTATTATTTATAAATATAATATTAATAAATGTATTATTTATCAGTATTTATTTGTGAATGTAATGTTTATAAATATTATATTTATTCTGTGAGGAAAGGTTTTAATCAACTTTCATCCAATGCAAATAGTTTATAATCGTGCAAAAAATCCGCCGTATAAAGTCGGGCTATAATTATAATCACGTGGTAAACAAAACGTGTTGAGATTTTCGGAGGATGACCTTTACATATATATATATATATATACATATATGGTTCTCTATAAACATTTGATGAAGTTTTACGGAAAATGGTTTAAAACATTGTGTTTTAAAGGAGAAAAAAAATCCATCGACGTACTACATACCCCTTCGAAACACCGTCTCCTTCTGGTGATGGTAATTTCAAATTTAGCTGTTTTAATGATTTTACAGCAGACAAAGATGGCCATTCGTGTTTCTTTTTAAGTTTCTTCTGCTGTCCGTTTCGAATAGGTTGATGAGTCATGAGGTCTTTCCATCACTAATAAAAAATGCCGCTAAAAGTTTAAATTGGTAAACCGTTATGATATATACTCCAAAGCAAAGTACTCATTGGAAAATCCTGATTGCTAGCAACGGTTTGAATCAATGTTTGCAGATCTTGGCAGTGATTCGCTTTTGGTATTTCTTAGCGCTGTCTTGGTTAGCTTTTAGCTTCGTAACGCGATCTCTCTTAGATCGCTAAAAATGGTCCGTAACGCATCTTTTCCGTTTGCAGGCGATCTCTATCATATATTGTGAGCCGTTGAAAGATAAGGGCGATAGTCAGCTGACACTGACACTGACTTACAAATATAAGGTCAGTGATCAATATTTGACACATCTTCCTCAAATTCGCCTCTCTCTCTCCCACCCTCTCTACCCCCCCGCTCTAGTGCTTTACTCCTGCCTTTTTTTCTATACAGATTTTCTTTTTGAGCAGCAAGAGTGTACCTCTCACTTAATAGATTATATTGGGCTTACGACCATATCACGTTGATACGTATTAAGCAACGTCGAGCCTGGTCACTGGCTAGATGGGTAACCGCTTGGGAATACCAGGTGCTGTAAGCATGGATGTGCAGGTGGTGTAGTGGATAACGGCTCAGAATTGGAAACCAGACAGCCGAGTTTCAATTCTAATTAGGTTCACATGCGCAAATACTCTTGGGAAAGGTACGTGAATATTATAGACCCAACTAGGATTGGGACGTAGCTCTCCGATTAATAATTCTGGGCTATTATACATTACATCACCTGTATATCAAAGCTTACAGTACCTGGTTTTCACAAACGGTCACCTGTCTAAATACTGACCAGGCTCACTTCGGTCATCTTACAGGAAATGGTGCTTCAACGTGATATGGCCGTAAGTCCCCCCAGCTATGGGTTAAATTTGTAAGACTTGTATCAGAAACTCATTATTATCTCCAAAACTTCTAACAATCTGAAGATAATTTCTGGCTTTAAATAACCCTCAAAAGGTTGATAAGCCGTAAAAAATCAATCAATCAAAATATACATTCTATTATCTGTTCTCTGTCCCTTTCTCCTTATCGCTTTCTTTATGTTTGATATGTTTTTTTTTTCTCCCAGAGGAGAAATTTTATAATCCAAGGAAGAGGAGGAACTGAGAATTAAATTTTATTGTCAGTTTAAATAAGAATTGCTTTTTCCATTTGACTGCAATCCATAGAACAATTTTATTTTCTATAATACGAATATAAAATTATAATGTCGAAAAGGAATATGCAATAGCGAAAAAAACGGCTTTTTATAAGTATTGCAAACTATTATTATATTTTTGTTCTCAAAAATTATTATCGCAGGTATCTATCGAAAAGTTTGACAAAGTCCTGTCCACCTTGACATACGTCAAAATTCATAATTTTACGTGCATAGGTATTGTTTTTATTTTATTTTATAATTTTGGATCATAATGTTTATCGCCTGGCACGTCGGATTTATTTGAATTTTGATCTGAACTCTTCACGGTATAATGTTTAATCTAATGTCACTAGTTCATTTGCATATTTAAAATAAGTTCTTTCTTCACCGACCAAATGGAAGCAGCTGCCCGCAAGAAAATGTTCTATTTTCAGTAAAGGTTAAAGACATTGACATTGGCCAATGAAACCAGTTTGCTAACCAAAGCTCAATGGCTGCTGTTTTTGTCTGGTTTATATCGTAAGAGAAAGTTTTGTATGACAGCAACAAAATTATTGAAAAGACTGAGAGTTTACCGAGAAGAGAGAGACTAAAATAGTTTAAATAAAGAGTAAAGATAGAAAAAAAAAAGAAGAGGCAAACATTCATGGGAAAAAATAAAACAAATATATATTAAAGAGAGAGAGAGAGAGAGAGAGAGAGAGAGAGAGAGAGAGAGGGGTATGATTTCTGGAAAATAGAACCTTCCTGCAAGGCTTCTATGAAGAGAAAGTGAAAATAAATAAATAGATTTTAAAAGAACAATGATGCAATCTGAATTATTACGGTCGAATGTAATTTAGACGGCAAAGAAGGGAAACAAAGAAGCAAACCGAAATAGTTTAAAAGTAAAAAATAGATAAGTAGCCGAAACACAGATATATATATATATATATATATATATATATATATATATATATATATTTCTCTGTTTTTGCGTGTGTTTGTGTGCACAAGAGATGTTTTGTCTCACTATAAATGTATTGCATAAAACAATACAGAAAAATATTCGTTGTAGACGTCAGGTGACATTTTGAAAAGTGTCTCGTGTCATATTAATTTTATTGGCTTTATATCAAACCGACAGTTCATGAGACAAGTCATATTAAATAGATATTAGATAGATATGAACAGAATTAACTAACCATCTCTGTCTCTCTACCCCCCCCGCACACATTATTTATCTATCTATCTATCTATCTATCTATCTATCTATCTATCTATCTATCTATCTATGATAACATAATTTTAAGGTATACTATATGGGTTAAAGAGCTCGATATCAGAGATAGAGCATATTTAAATATAAAAGTGGATATTTAAATCAACACCCAGAGGTGACAGTTTAGCATGAAACAGACTGTCGCCTCTGGGTGTTGAATTCAATACATACATACATACATATATATGTGTTTCATGCTAGGCGCAATCATGATTGCCTCTAGCATAAAACAGCCTGTCGCCTCTGAGTGTTCACTTCAATGTTCACTTCTTTATTTACATATTCACTATCTCTGACATTGAGCACTTTATCGCATAAATATATAAAAGTATATTTCTTCATATATATATATATATATATATATATATATATATATATGTGGATAGAAAGTGAAAAGTTAGGGATATAGAGAAAGGGAAAGAAAGTGATAGATAAATTAAAAGATGAATATATATAAAAATGCGGCCACACAGACAAATTGGCAGGAGGAGATTGAGATATACATAGATAGATAGATAGATAGATAGATAGATAGGAAGAGACTGAAATAGATAGATAGATAGATAGATAGATAGATATATTTGAAAAGACTGAGAAAGATATGAATAGAGATAGAATAGATAGGTAGTTACATAGAATACAATAGATAGATTAATAGACTGAAATAGAATGGCTAGATAGATAGATGGATAGATATATATATATATATATATATATATATATATACGTCTATACGTATATATCTCTCTCTCTCTCTCTCTCTCTATATATATATATATATATATATATATATATATATAGAGAGAGAGAGAGAAAAATAATGGAATGTTAGATAAAAAACCAAATAACACTATAGCAAAAAGTAACGCGTGTATTACTTCTCTATCTCCCACTTTCTCTTTCTTTTTTTGCTCTTATTTCTTCTCCCTTCCCCTCTCTCTCTTTCTCTTTCTCTGGGTGGCGTCATAGTTATTCTTTGCTGACCAACTATTTTCGTTAGATATTCATTTGCTCGTATCAATCCTGATCCTCTGTGATATTTAGCTCTTTCGAAAAATCACATAATCTGTCGACTTTGCCGTGATCAATACGACCAAGCCCTTGGCCTCCTAAAGCCTGCCTCCATCTTTTTAAAATCAGAAAAGTTGACGCATGCGTACTGGCACTACATGGGGGTCTATGACACACAACTGAGTATTATAAAAGGGCGGGAAATAAAGACAATAAAACGCCATTAAGAGCAACGATTGTAGGAAAGGTGAAAACAAATATCAAAGAGCAAATTTCAAGGAATCTGTGGAAAGGCATCCGTTTGAGGAACCTCTTTAGCAACAAGGTAGTAAAACATTTGGAATATATGTGAAATATAAAATAAAAAAGAAACGTTTAAATTATAGTCGTAGGAGTGCAGAGAAACTTCACTGAATAATATATCTACCAATGAATGATACCATATTGACTGACGTCAAAAACAATGCGATTCGTTAAATGTAAAATCATTATGTATACAATATTTTCAATCGCTTTATTCATACTTATCAAACTCACCATATCTATTTCAATATGTTTTTCTTTCTTTCTTTCTTTCTTTCTTTCTTTCTTTCTTCATTTGTCACCTGGCTGGTTAGTAACTAAAATGCACCACTCTCTTCCTATCTATCTATCTATCTATCTATCTATCTATCTATCTATCTATCTCAGTCTTACATATTCATTTTTCACTTTCTTTCTTTCTTTCTTTCTTTCTTTCTTTCTTTCTTTCTTTGTATGTATATATGTATGTATCTATTTCAGTTCAAATCTATCTATCTCAGTGTTACATATTCATTTTTCTCTTTTTCTTTCTTTCCTTCTTTCTTTTTTTCTTTCTTTCTTTCTTTGTTTGTTTCTTTCTTTCTTTCTTACATTCTTTCTTTCTTTCTTTGTATGTATGTATTTATCTATTTCAGTTTGTTCAAATCTATCTATCTATCTATCTATCTATCTATCTATCTATCTATCTATCTATCTATCTCAGTCTCTTCCTATCTATCTATCTATCTATCTATCTATCTATCTATCTATCTATCTCCCTTTTTATTTTATTTAA